AAGAACTTAATGCACATTAACTTGTGGAAGTAAAGTTTGACGTCATACCTGTTAAAAAAAACCGGAAGCATTATCAAATATATTCTAAAATTAAACGAGATATAACTTTTAAAATAGATGTTGTGTCTCTTAAATAAACGGGTACGGTTTTTTACTCGTTCTCAATAACACATTAACTTGATTTGAAAAATTGGAAAATCAGACTTGCTGCAAAATCCGAATAAATTTTTCATTACCTTACTAGATACTTCAGAAAATGTAATAACTTACTGAAAAGTAATAAGCGTGCATTCAAATTCATATCAACATATGGCTTTTAAAATTTAATATGAGAAGAAAATTTATTAAATCCCAATACTTAGTATCTTGCTTTCAAGAAAATAATCATAAAGATTACTGTATTTGAAATGATATTACATTTTTTGTTGTTTTTGTAAGATAAAAATAAGAGCCATTAATAAATTTGTCTCCCATTCACTGTATTTTTCATAATAATTATGTAAAATATTTAATGATGATGGAAGAATTAATGACAAACCATTAATACTAACAATGACTCACCGGGAGAGTCATATTGATAATCAGAAATTATTTATCATTAGCTTTCAAAAAACAAATAAAATAACTTTTAGTTCGTTTTGTTTATGTGATATTTAAAACAAAATTATCCATTAGCAGCAGCTTCAATATTATTATTTAATATATCTATGTCCATCCTATTAATAAATATTTGTCTTTGCTATTAGGGAAAATTGGTTTATGATTCATAAAACTGTTATTGTGGCGGACTAATAATAAAATCATTTGATAACGGTGGACATGATCCTGTCTAAAAATATAGGATGTTTTAATTTAGTACAGCACATAAAAAGCGGTAATAGATACATGTATCGAACAAATTACATATATGTCAAAGGTTTTTTCTTATCGTGACCTATCGATATCATCTATGTTTACCTACTTCAGATATTTCGATTTCAGTTCATACACAGTTATAGTTTTTTGAAATTCACTTGGTGTAATTCAGTTTATTATTAAAATTTTTATTTGAATTAGTTTAAAAACCACAACAACATTGAAAAATATTTTTAGCAAAATTTACATTATTGTTAAACACAAGGTATGTACTTTAAATTTATTTCTAAACAAGTTCGTGATTGTTTAGTTTTTATTTATTTTTTAAGATGATTCTAAAATGGGTATAAAAATTTTACGTTTTCAAACTTCAAAAAGGCATTAAAAAAACATATCAAAACATATCGTATTTATTGAATATTTTTGTTGTCATATTCATACACTTTTAATTTTTGTATAGTTCACCTGCGTCTGCTTGCGACGAACTTTATTTTATAATACTTTTCAGATGGAGTAAAATTGATAAGCAATGCCGATCTGGTTAATACTTGGCTTGGTCATAAGGACAAGAACTCAAAATTATTTGTATTTCAAAAAATGTGTTCTTTATTAGATATTGATGAACCTTCCAGCCCAATGAGACAACCACTTGTGCCTGAAAAAGTCCACTATGTTGGAGCGAAACGTGGCATAAAAAAGTTTCCATCTTTCAATTTATCATAAAACCTCATACCCAAGAAAACGAAAAAATAATATATGGATATGGTCTATTAAAGAGGTAACTACTAACATCCGAACCCCTCATACCAACAAAAAGAACAGTAACAACGCGAAAAAGTAACATATTGGAAAATGATGTACAGAAATATCTTATATGTGAGGATATTTCATCTCCCTGTGATTTGGATACTATAAATTTGGAATATTCTGTCAGCAGTGATTCTTCTGAATCAGAGTAGTTACGATATATGCATTTTGTTGTCCTAAAGTAAATTTATAGTATCTTAAGTTTTTTTTTAATTAAATATAGCATTAATGTTTCTTTTTCATTAAAGAAAAACATTTTTATCTTATATTAGGTTTATATTGTAGAAATCATGTACTAATGTTATTCCAATTCTTTTTTATCACAGCGATTTATTTAATACTTACACCGTTTTCATACTATAAATGAATATTTCCTTAGATGGAACACAGCTCCAACATTTTTATTATTTATAAGATTTTTTTTTTCATAAACGTGGGACTAAGAATATCATCATTTAGTACAATGAGAGTACTCATCATTTGTGTCAAATAAACCTAGTTTGAATAAATTGCCTAAAAGAGAAGTTTTGCATTTTTGTCCTCTAGAGGCCGTATGTTCGAAGCACTGTGCGACGGCGCCGGCGCGGCGCTGAAGTAATGCAATTTCGCATGCAATTTGCAGAAAAAAGTGTAACTTTACAGAAAAAGTGTAAATTTACAGAGAATGTGTAAATTTACAGAAAAATTGTAAATTTACAGAAACACTGTAAATTTTGCTAAAATATTTCTTAACGTTGGTATGATGAGCTCGTAAGAAACATCTGGTTCCCGTGTATTTTGTAGACAGAGGGCTACGAATATATTTTTTATATTCTCTGGTAATGCTATTGAGTTCAAGGCAAGTGCGACACTTGGATAGGAGATTTCTTTCATTTCCAAATCCTTTTTTGGGCCATTTTCCGACGCACAAAGACAAGAAAATAAGTAATTTATCATTTCCAGGCATATTCGCCAGCAAACTGCTTTGAATCCCGATTTGAAAGTCAAATGCTACGATTATTTTTTTATTGTTTCGCAAAATCCTCTTCTTAATTACAATTTAACTGGACGGCCGGCCGTTTTTATTCATGAGCCCCTAGAATAGGAGAACAAAATTGATATTGCCCTTGATTTCTAATTACTTCTAAGTAATGATAAAGCTAGTTCACTTGAATTAAAAATTGACAATTTTTGTAATATGAAAAATTCCGTTTTCGCTAGTGTTTCAGAATTGAAATATATCAAAAGCAAATGCCGTAAATGCTTAGACAAAAAGTTTGGCAAGAATTAGTTTGAGATTATAGAGAGTTGTTGGCGTCACTATGGCGATTCCCGATCTGCCAGACTCCGAGCGCATAGCTCCCAGAAAACATCGTTGCCATACGTTTCTTTTTCTCTTTTTTACTCATCCTCAAATACAGTTTCGTCCAAAACGGTTCAAAATAATACAATTTCGAATATTGTGGTCTAGTAATAACACACATAAGTGACATATTATTAATTATAGATTAACATTTCGATTAAATTGTTTATCAAGGCACGTAATTTTAAATCAGTAGCATTTAATTATTTCGGAATTTAGATTAAACCATTTTCTATATTTTAGAGCACCCTTCAATACTGCTCCGAACATTTTGAACAACATATTGATATATTTTAAGGCATATTTTCAAAATACATTTTAATTTCAGTTCGAGTTGAAAGAGCAGTTTGATATGTTTCTTGCAATTCTGTATTCTTATCAATATTGTAAATAAACTAGATCTAATTGTACAAAACCAGATATAACTCAGTTTAAAACTTGCGATAAGGTAGTGCATACATATGTTATTCAATCCAGTGCCAGATTAAAATGATTAAAATAACAGATTCTTTACTTTGGTCTTTTTTTATAGAAGTTCTATGGAAGTGAAAAATTGTTTTCTTTTTACACGTGAGTCTCTATGCTGTAGATTAATGGCTAAGCATTCGGCAATTGGACACCATCTGGTTCATTTCTCATAGAACCTCCATGGAAGTGAAAAATTGTTTTCTTCTTGTGTAAGAGTGTCTATGCTGTATAATAATAGTTAAGCATTCGGCAATTCCGTGTCAGACGATGGTGGGGAATGTAAAGAATAAAGAATATTCAAAGGAGAGTTTATGTTATTCCAGTTGGAAACCCTCTGGTTCTTTTCGCATAGAACCTTTATGGAAGTAAAAAATTGTGTTCTTCTAGTGTAAGAGTGTCTATGCTGTATAATAATGGCTAAGCATTCGGCATTTTTTTGGCACACGATAGTAGAGAATGTAAAGGACTTTCAAACAAGAGTATATGTCATTCCAGTTGAACACCCTCTGTTTTTTTTTCTCATTGCAGCTCCATGGAATTGAGAAATTGTTTTCTTTTACATAAGAGTCTCTATGCTGGAGAATAATGGCTAAGCATTCGGCAATTCTTTGACAGACGATAGTAGGGAATGTAAAGAATATTCAAAGAAGAGTTTATGTTATTCCAGTTGGAGAGCCTCTGGTTCTTTTCTCATAGAAGCTTCATGGAAGTGAGAAATTGTTTTATTTTTACACAAGAGAATAATGACTAAGCATTCGGCAAATTAGAATAATGACTAAGCATTCGGCAATTCCTTGATAGGATAGTTTATATTATTCTAGTTTGACACCCTCTGTTTTTTTCTCATAGAAGCTCGATGGAAGTTATAAATTGTTTTCTTTTACACAAGAGTCTCTATGCTGGAGAATAATGGCTAAGCATTCGGCAATTCCTTGGCAGACGATAATAGGGAATGTAAAGATTTTTCAAAGAAGAGTTTATGTTATTCCAGTTGGAGAAACTCTGGTTTTTTTCTCATAGTCTCATAGAAGCTCCATGGAAGTGAGAAATTGTTTTCTTTTTAGACAAGAGCCTCTATGCTCTAGAATAATGGCTAAGCATTCGGCAATTCCTTGATAGACGATAGTAGAGGGACTGTAAAAGACTTTCAAAGGAGAGTTTATGTTATTCTAGTTGGATACCCTCTGTTTTTTTTTTATAGAAGCTCCATGGAAGTGAGAACTTGTTTTTTTTTCTTTGTTTTCCTTTTACACAAGAGTTTTCAATAGGTCCAGTCTCGACTGTAGTAGGACTTTAAAAGCTATTTCCAAAGAAGCGATTTGATGAGAAGGGTTGTTTGCGAAATAATTAGCAAATACATGTGGATCTCTTTTGAAATTGTTAATCGTCAGTTGGGAACAAGCACGGGCCTAACTAGTGGTGGGGATGGGATATCTGGCACGAGCGAGGATTTTCCGCGCAAGTTTCCCGACGAGCCGGCAACGTCGGACCACAGTCAGCCTGCCTCATCCAGATTTCCACTACGCTCGTATTCGCATCTCGTCGCCCCAGATATTTACAAATTTAAAACGATCACTTGGCTCCGAGGACCGATTACGTCATAGGCCGACCATCGTCTCTCTCTCATGGTGCGTGTGTCTGGTGCGTGTATACCGTGTGTTCCCTAATTGCAGTTCCAATAATTTTTTAACCGGGTGAGGGATGTGCACGCTTCGGAATCTCGCCGGTCTTAGGTAGTCGCAATCTTCAAAATGTTCCTAGTGCATTCCTGCAAAAATACCTGGAGCAGATCTCAGCTGAGCGGCAAAATCGGACCGGTATTCGTTCCTTATTCTAGCTAAAATTAGTGTTCGGGCTTTTACTGCCGCTTAACCGTAAAGTAAGTTATTTCCTAGTCGCTATTTATAGTTGTGTATATATGTGTGTGTTGTGTTCTTTTCTAATTTATATTTTATGTTCCATCTATAGTGGAAATAACAAACCCCGATGAACCAGCCCGTCGCAAGCTCTCTTTACTTACCATAAAACAGCTATTTTCAATCTTCTATTTATAGTTTTCGCGCTGATCGTGGCGCAACCGTTGAGAAAAAAATTCGAAAATTTTTCCATCAAGTCCAAAAAGGAAATGCTTGTGACCATGACCCATCTGTCAATTCCTAGTCTGATACGAGCCACCATTTATTTTTAGACACAAACCTAATTAAAAAAAGATTATTCTGTTCCCCTGACGTAATATACTGTCTGAAATCCCGTCCAAATTTGCGACAAGCTTTTCACCAAGGACACATGCTTTTTCTTTTTATACTGCTATATCGAAAGGTTACATAAAAATTTTATTCATTCGCCTCGCCAATTCTCTTCATGTCATCAATCATTTTTACTACTTTTTCCCTCTAACAAGAATCTTCCTATTAGTTATTTTATAGTTTTTAATCTTTTTAATTGAATTTAGATCACTAGCAACACAAAACAAAATGATTGTTATAGGCTTGTAAAAACCCAGACGCTATAAGATCTTGGCAAAAATATCTGGCATACCTCTAAACCATCTGGTGTGGATATTACCTAACTCTACGTCTGTGCTTCAGAAATATGTAATAATTTATTTCAAAAGAATATAGTATTTTTAAATTAGAAACCTTTACATATTAACTCTCATTCTAATGAACTCAATGTATATGACTGAACACTCTGTTTTTTCAAAAAGAAAATAATATTTAGAGTTTTCTTAGGAGAGTTATTTATTTATTTTTATTTTGGCATTAAAAAAAAGTGGGAATATCTTTTGAATAGAAATGTTCTGGTGGAATTTTATGTCACTCTGACTAGACAATCTATTTTTGTGATTCCACGTTGCCAAGCTTATGTACTAGCCAACTGATGTCATTATTTTAATTTCGTCATATGAAAATTCTAACCAATTTGAACGAGATTTTTCACGCGGTCTTTCTAAATTTTTCTGTTTTGCAATTTCTAACAATTTTCTATTCAAAACATGTAAATATGCTTTCAAAGCACGTAATAATAATTTAGTCTGTAGATTTACGGTCTTGATTAAAGATAAATATAAATTAAAGCTCCTCATAACTTTTTATCTGGCTTTCGGGCTCGAGGGGTTTTGTTTTATAGATCCACAAACTAACATAATTGTATAATTACGCAAAAATAACTGTTATTACTTTTTAACACAATTGATTTTATAAATCCTTCGTCGTGCCATGTAAATATTTATATACATATTCCGGAATATTTGAAAATTTATATGTTCTATAGATTCTCTGCCGTTACTCACCTGTGTAATAAAACCGCGAAAAAAAATTATAAGCTGGCTAACAGTTAAAAATAGACGTAGTTTTACGTGAGGCAGCATTTTCCAATGTAACAGCTTCTGTTGAATATTAATTATTAGAAATATACCACCCACGGAATGCTAATCACAAGACATTCTTTACTGCAATGTAATTGGGCCAGTTACTATAACACAACACTACCATCAATGATATTACACTGGAAGTAGGGGAATACTACTTACAGAAATTAACAGAAGAATAAAATTAACAGCTTTGAATCAGCAGAGAAGAATATAAAAATAGCTGAAGCAATCGAATATATTTTGTCTAAATAAGAAAATCAATCTATATTTTTCCATGCTTTGATTTCTTCCATGGCCGATAATGAAACTTTGAATAAAAGGATTAAGGAAGGAATGCTATCCATGTATTCATGCATAGTAGACGGAGGTGGGACTCTAGGGTGGGGATCTTCCGGATCCTCGACAGTTCTGTTTGACGATTCATTTGGCACATTTGAATTTGATTTAAAATTTTGTGGATTTGTCAGTCTTTACTGACCTTATTTTATGTTATTTACTATTTATTGTACACCTGACAGTTGTGTAGAGGTGGTAACTCTAGAAGGATTTTTTTGTGGCAGAGCTAAAATTAACAGTGACACTATAGCGATTTATCGAAAAAGACTCTAAAATGGTTGTGTAGCGTGCGGTAGATCTCGGCAAAAATTGAGAGAAATAATGGAACAACTTTTCGCTAGTAAGTGACTACATAATATACATACGTGTAGTAAACCGATCATTTATGAAATTCACTTAAATTAACTAAATTATATATTTTTTCTTGCATTTTTGCTTTTATTTACTACTTGTCAAAGAATTTAGATACGTTAATTTGACTTACCTGCTTCAGTAGCGTATCGGATGTTTGTGTTAATAAATACTTATTATAACTTATCTATTTTTATTAGAATTATATATTTTTATAACAATTTTAATAACTACCAACATTTATTCACAACGTAAAATAAAATAACAAATTATTGAGTCTACCCCACGTCTACCCTACATCATAGTTTTACATTTTTTAAATAAAATTAGAACGGCACTGATAAACCGGAATTTAAGTCGGCCATATTTGAGGCCCATCGCGGTGCACCTAAGTTTTTTGATATGCTCCTTCTTTATTTTTTTTTATTCAAAGTAATAAACGAACTAGCTTAAATAAAAGATCAAGTGTTTTTTCCTCCACGTAAAACATAAATCATATTAATTAGAGTTCAAAATAACCAGATAAGGACTCAAAATTCTAAAGGTAGGTCCCCTTACGTTTTCACATCTAATAATAAGTTAATTTTCGTTCAACTTTATTTTTGATTAAAACTTTCACCCGACGTTTAGTTAATTAGAAGATTTTTTTAATGGAATACGTGCTGAAACGGTGTGTGGGAGGAGGGGGGAATTCGATTCCTTCCCCTGCGATTGATGTGATTGATAGATCTATCCGTTATTTGTTGCTGGTCTTTCGTTTTCTTCATTCAGAGAGTAGAATCATTTATTTTCTCCATTATTTCTCAGAAAGAACACCACAGAAAACATATTTAATGATGGTAGGTATTTTTTTTATTATTACAAGTTATTGTTTTAAGAAATAAATCATCCATAATAAGGAGTGTTAAAACTCATTCATAATTAATCGCGATAGGTATACAAAAGAAATAAACATTATATCTGGGCATTTCTGTATACCTATCAATCGATAGATCGATAGTTTTTATGCCGTAATGAACTCTTTTTCTGCTAAGTCATGATGGGAACACCCTCGATTTTCTTTTTTGATTTAGTTTTCTGCATAGAGACATAATACAGACCCGTGCTTCAATATTTACCAATTTTAGTTTTATATATATATCAAAATCCTTAGTATTATTTGTTTCTACCATAGTTATAATATTATTAGAAATTATAGTTATTTAAAACTCGAGAGAAAAATTTCATTATTATATGAAAAATGCCACATATTTCGACACTTTCATTTCCCCAAATTCTTTATTAATGGAAAAGCATCAAAAAAGTTTAATATTTCTCCTGGAAATTTTAATGGCTCGAATCGATGTTACAAAGTTATTTACGTTATGCCAATAATTCAGATAAATGTTATTATTATTAACTGAAGCTAGGGCAATTTTTTATTCCGAAATTATTTTACGTATTTTTAGTGATTGGTTAAAATAAAAGCGTTAACACAAACGCGATTTTTTATTACTTTGGCTAGATCGGTGCGATGTTTAATTTTAGTTATTGATAAATATAAAAAGTAAATATAATGGGTCTCTCTAACTAAAATTACTTATTATAATAGTACTTTATTTATGAGCGAAAAGTATATTCGGTATATAAGTAATTATTCTTTTGTGAAATAATTTATGTCTCAGATGTAATGTCTGCCAAAATTAATTTGGCTGCTTGCCGAAAGTATATAAAATGTTGAAAAATCCGAACACTGTGTAGGGATATAATAATTCAATCCTTAAACACAAACTCGAATTTTAACAGTCTCGCTATTTGACGTCATTGACATAGGGATGGAAGAAATTTTTCCCAGAATTTAGATCGATTTTATAGATATATACATACATATCGATTTCTTTAATACTTGTACATGACTAACTATAACGTTCAGAGAAGAATGCATCAAACAGTTTGTTTTGGGTGATTCCTTCGTGATAAATACAAATTTCATGACTCAAATTTATTGCAAATTTCATTTATCGAATTCGAAAAGTATCGCTCGTAAAATTCGAAATAAACAAACACGTCTTATTTTATTTTAAGAATCAGTCATACGCAACGAAGTAACAATAAAATCTGTTTAATTTACCAATTTTCCTCCATATAAACATAAATATAATACATCAAACATTCGATTTGGCTTATTTTTAGATTTAATATTTGTTAAGGTTCTCAAGAGATTTGTTTGTATATGTAGTTTATATATTTTTTTATTAAATCAACCTTTATTATTTATAATTATTTGTAGTTGTCTATTGATTTTGCAACAAATATCTTTCTAATTTATGTTTATTTAATGAATATAGGGAATTCTCTCTTGTTTGAAGCAAAAAACAAAATATCTCTCGGACAACTGTTTTTTTTTCTCCGAATTAGGGAAAAAATAGCGTTTACCTTGGCCATTATTTATTTAGAGCATTAACATCAATCGATTTCCAATACTTTCTCACTAAAATAGAGTGTCATTGACATCGGGTTTGAATTCTCTTTATATTACAGTAGATATCTTTATAATTCCAGCAATAAAGTAGGTCTCAAAATGAATTTAGCAAAAACCAAAGTAATGTACAACGAACTAATAGACAGAAAAAGACATTCATAAAATAACACAACACTGGAAAGAGTAGAAGAATATATATGTTTGGGACAACGAATACAGCAGCTCGGGATCTCTACTACCACAAATCAACAGAAGAATTACGTTACCATGGAGTACTTATAGAAGAGACTCAGTCATATTCAAATCTAGAAAGCCACTTTATCTTTATCTAAAGTAGGAAACATTCGACCAATGTGTA